ATACTAACCCAATCAAATCCCAATATAATCTAACAATTTTTCGTAATGTGATGGTGAATTGGTAATATTATACCACACTTTTCCATTTATCTGAATCAAAATGGATTTTTTTTTCCTCAGCATTTTAGCAGTTCTGTAATTTTGATACACATCCCATTAATGCAAAGATCAGTGGCTCCCCTCCCCCACCCCATCCTTTCATTCATTTCGTGTTTTTGTGTTTGAAAGTACAGCAAGACAGGCGTACAGTATCTACATAGCTAGGAACCCAGATGATATGCTAATACAATACAAATTATATGGATACAGTACTCTCTGACATTCTGTGGCCTACTTGCACAATTAATAGGGGAGCAGAAGAATAGGAGAGCAGAGGGGAATGATACCTTTTGCAGCCCAGCCAAGATCACATGTAGGCATTTAGGGCCAAACCTTTATATTGAAGTTTGGCTCTCATTACAAAGGGAAATCCGTTAGTGTTCCAAAGATGCGACTCAGACAGGACATAAGTCAAATCAGCAGACACAGCCCCTGTGTAAGTGCAGAAGATCAACTGCAAAATAAATAAATAAATAAAAAAAAATAAAATTAAAAAGCAAAAAAAGCTACAGATTCGTGAACTGCCAAAAGTGTAAAAAAAACACCTCCTGCTGTGACAATCAGATATTTTCAGAGATTAAGGAATACCCTTTCTAATCATGCAACATGGAGTGAATTTATTTATTAGAGTTGTAATTTGGGTCAGGAAACTGGGAGTTAGCCCCAGAGTACCAAAACTTAGAACTGAATCTATTGGTGACTGTTAGAAAAAAAAATATGGCGATAAATGTTTGGTTTTTTGCTGGTTTTTAAAGAAGAACCTTCCTCTTTCTTTTGGAGATCACCAAATTCTGCCCTTCCCTTTTCTCGGTGGGTCTCATGGCCATGCCTCAGCATAGAGTGGGCGGTAGACCGCGCCATTTGCCATTTGGGTATCAACATTTCTAGTCATTATAATTATTAATGTATGGTGTGACAGCTACTATGGCAGTTCAGTTTGTTTTTACCTTCTCCCCAGTCTCTATCAGCTGACAAGTGTGCTCTTCCTAATTAGTATGTATTTTCAGGCTTATTTGGTCATTGCCCAGTCTAGTCTATTCATCCATAGGAATTTCAAGGTTAATGACCTATCCGCAGATTTGGTAAGTCCGTTCACACCTTCAGCTTCCCAGTGAGAAAAAAGAGAACCAACCCACATTGAAGCCGTGAATGTTGCTGTTGTTGTAACCCAGCAATGGGATTCTGGGCTTTGTATATCTCGTATTTGAAATGTGATACATGGTGCTTATGCACAAAGGATCAAGGTGCTTCCTCCAGCTTACTTTTGGGGGCGGGGAGTGCTGATGAACGAGGGGCTTTATTGGATCTTACAGTTTAAACTCAGAAGATGACACTGTCACTTGTGTGAGGATCATGCTCTAGCATTGAGAAAGCCTGCTGTCCCAGGAGGTTGGGCTATGGATTTCTGCTTTCCTACTTATGCCTGAATATGACTTAGCTTTCGGGGGCACCAAGACCTGCTAACAGCAGGAAGCACTAGGCAGCTATAAAAGCTTCACATGCTGATATATAAACAGTAGGAACTTCCAACCCAGTAGACGTCTCTAGTCCTCCGTCTTCACAAGGAAAGGGATCAATGAAAGGCTTCCCTTCAAGATATCCTACTGCTTGAAGTAAGGAAAGTAATGTGATGGTTTTATGACGTTTCCTTTCTGTTTTATTTTTCTTTCATTCTGAATGACGAAGTTCTTCCTCCACAAAAGTGAATGGAAAAGCCAAGACCTCTTCAAAAGCCCTTTCTGTCTAGGTCCCTTTGTGCTTGCACAACAAAAGCACAGCACATTAAGAATAAATGGCAGTAATGGACTGATGGGAATACTTCTTCTTTAAGTGGACAGCGCAGGCTGGACGGAGCCCAGAGCTTTAAAAGTATGAAAAATCTGCTGATTAATCCTCAGATTCAGTATTGTCAAGGCAAGCATTTTAAAACTGCTGGGTGGCTGTGTGAAGAGGACTATCTAAAAGACAGCCTGAGGGAAAGGTTGGGGTGAAGCTGAAGTTGAAAACAACTGGAAATTATCCAGAAAGCTCTTGCAAGGATAGTCAACTTTTGTCCGCAGAGAGGTGTGGTCCTTGAGACAGGGAGGTGAAGAGGTCCTTGGATATAAAAAGCAAGCAGTTCAGAAGGCGTCTCTGTTGCCTGCTGTTATGGCCAGAGCTGGAACTTTGAGCTGAAATCTGAAATCAAGCTGGCAAAAAATGTGAGGCAAGGTCAGAAGGACACACAGCTCTGGGATTTAAGGTTAACCCAGAAGATTCCCACTGCCTACTAATTGCCAAGGCCAAGCTTTTAAACCTATATTCTTTTCTGTGTCTGAAGATGGTCCTGAAGCCCTCATACACACATTCCCAGACTTCTCACCTTAGATTGTCGATACACTATGAAAATTAATTGGGAGATGAATCGGGGGTTTTGAAGTTGGTTTACATTCATGTGATGGTCATCTGTTTTTTGTGTCGGCATGTGCATCCTCTTGGGAAACCTTTAATCCATTTTTAAATGGGTTTAATAATGGTCAAGAGGGCTACATGGCTTTTAGAATTGTTGCATGTGAGACTTCGTCCTGTATCTGTCTGCCCTCATGCTGGTTGCCTCTCACAGCCACTGGCGCCTGCTGTTCTGGCATTATTTTTAATATCTGTTTTATTTCTTTCAAAGTGCAACACCTCCAGATCAGCATTACCACTAGAAAAAAAATTAAACAAATCATGCTTTAAGGGTTCTCTGTAGCCCAACACATGCACATGGAGAGAGAGAGAGAAATACACAGAGGTGTGGAGAAGAATAGGGAGCAATTGAACCAGCAGCTGTGGCTGACGAGAGGGAAGGAACACCAGTGAATGAGTGGCAATGAGAAATTGTCAAGATCAGCAGTTTCTAGGCTTGAAGGAGGGAGCATTTTTCCCTTCCTTTCTCTCTCTGCTGGCTCTCTTTTCTGATTTTTTTTTTTTTTTAAAAACCTAAGCTATAGTTCTGTTCTTCTAATTGCCTCAAGCTTTGATTGCTCCTCAGAAGTGGGAAGAGCAGAGAGTCTCTGATCCAGGCCCATCATAGCCAATTGCTACTGCCACCACCAGTGTTATCTATCTATCTATCTATCTATCTATATATCTATCTAT